GCTGCAGAGCTATGTTGTATCAACAGTTGTTCTTTAGACATAGTCCCACCTCTCTACTGTCACGGTCTGAGATGCAGGTGAATTAGAGTCCTGGCTGTTAGGCCGCTGAGAGCTGTCTGACCAATGGCTTATTCTGGCTGATTCTGTGGGGGTGGGACTTCCTCCTCCCTGCTGTCAGTTTCCACAGTTGTGATGAGGAAGCTGGGGTGACAGAGCCACGCCCTCCAAGCCACCCTCTCTCTCGCTCTGTTCTATGTCCAGCAGCCTCCTGCTCTGCCAAGTCCTCCAAACCTCCCACTCTCCGCCCACTTTCCTGCTCTGCTCTCTGCCGGTGAAGGTCCCGGGAGCCCATGTGGGGGTGGCTACGGCCTCGCCTCCCGGGGCCACCGAAGGTCCCAGGAGCCTGCGGGTGTGGCTTGGCGCAGCTGGCCTTGCCTCCCGGGGCCGGTGATGGTCCCGGGAGCTCGCAGCCGCTGTCGCCTCCCGGGGTGCTTGACACCTGCATATGCAAGTTAACCCGCCATCTTTGTCAGGTTAATTTGCATACTCCCGATTGGCTAGTGAGCGTAGCGGAGGGATGGTCAATTTACATGTTTCTCTTTTATTATATAGGATTATTAAAATTTAAATTTAGCTGTATAAATGATAGTACAGTATTTACTTTTTAAAAAGCAGACTTTCAGCATATTTTAATGATCTCACTAAATGTCATCCTTTGAACAGTTACTTTTTGCTGTGTTAATTTTTGACGCACCCCTTACAGTTTAATCCTTATGCACTTTATATAACAGTAATATCTATATTATTTTTATCTTATGGTCTTGAGTTCGTGGTCTACGTAACACACCTGCTTAAAACCAAACCTTAGCATTTTGTCATAGCCACCCCTGGACCAAAGTATATTTGATGTTTTAAGAGCGTGCTACTATTTATTCACTTAAGAAAGAATAAGAAAATAGTATTCCGCCAAAACCGGTTTGGCTCAGTGGATAGAGCGTCGGCCTGCAGACTGAAAGGTCCCAGGTTCGATTCCGGTCAAGGGCACATCCCCAGTGGGAGATGTGCAGGAGGCAGCTGATCGATGTTTCTCTCTCATCGATGTTTCTAACTCTCTATCTCTCTCCCTTCCTCTCTGTAAAAAATCAATAAAATATATTTTTTAAAAAAAATTATGAATTTAAGAACCTGAATTCCAGAGATATGTATAAGAAAGTAAACATGTTCTATCAGTTTGTGTGACCTTGGCAATTAGTCTTTTTTAAAAAAATCATTTAAGATCATATGTAAATAGGTTGTAAAAATCATACATAAAATAAAGGTTGTTAAGAATCAGGCTTTTATGTACTAGGTGTTGTTTGCCACATTTTCCATATTAAAGTTAAACTCCATTTGTATTTGGAAAGTGTTGTCTGTTATAGTTTTACTTTATTATTTTGCATAGTTGTTAATAGAAAACAAGGACTTAATATCTCTGAGGCATATACAAGATAGTACATTGATGGATGGATTATGATGGTTCCAAAACTTCATTTTTAGTTAGGTTTTTTTGGAAACATTATATTTAGGTCTTACAAGAGTGCAAAAAGAAGCAATTTTTCATTAATTCAATGATACTTCCTCTGACCAAAGTTTTTATTAGTTAATCAAAATTGAATTAAGTACTGTTGAACATGCAGTTTTCCTTGTGTCTTTTTAACTTTATATATATCATTGTAAAAAAAAAAGTATAAAAACAGTTCCTTTGAGGTGCCTCTGCTACTTTTGGTCATTCAACTTTGGGCAGTTTATCCTATTCAAAGTTTGGTGAGTGATGTTAAAAATCTGCTTGTCAGATTTTATTCAACACCTCCAGAAGAAATTGCATATTTGAACCTCCAGAATTTGACTAAAACATACTATTTAATGTAATCGATACACTTTTTACTGCTGAGATTACATATAAAAGAACATTATGTCCTTTTACTGTCTATTTATTTAAGGATATTAGCACCACTCTAAGAAGCTTGTCTTTTTTTACATTATTGTTGTCTTTTTCATTATCTATAAAGGGTACTAGAAAATAATTTTAAGAAAATTCTTATTTTCTTCTGCTTAACTTTTTTCCTATTTTTGCTCTCTCAATACCTAAATTTCCATCTCTCTCTATTTTTTCCTAGATCTTTTGTGTTAGGACTTTTTGTCTTGTTTTTTAGTTTTTAAATATTGAATTTCCATTACATATTTCAGTGCATTCCATTTATCTCATTTTTTGATTCCATACAAAATAGACAAACAAGTTCAAGGTTTAAAAGCAATGAGTTTGAAAACTCACTTTTTAAAGCCTTTTTTTCCCCCGCCAGATTTGAACTTAAATTGTTTATTCTCTGTCAGCCATTTCCTGATCCATAATAGGTTGTAACTTGCAGTTGTCTTTTTCATTATATTTTGGTTGGTAAAACTGAGACAAATAGTATTTTGTTGGCATTCCTAAGGAACACAAAGATTAGCGAAGGAAAATATATAGAAAAATTATTTTGTAGTTTTGTTTAAAAAATCGTGTTTTTATAAAATTCTTTGGTAACTTAAAATCTCAGTCTTAAAATAGTAAAATGTTAACTAATCTGTATAAATTTTAATTGTGAACTTTGATGTTTTTGAACCTTTGAATATTCTAAAAATCAGGTATGTGGCAAAACTTGACAGATGTTCAACAGTTTAATTATAATCAATTTTTTTTCTATTCCAAGACACTCTTTAGAGCAGGAGAATTTCAGAAATTGAGGAAGAGATTAATTGAAATTTTAAGAATACTAAATATATGATTGTTTGCTTTCAGTCAGAAATTGGGTTTGGGAAAATGGAAACCTACATCAAATTGGAGAAGCTTGGAGAGGTAAGTAAACACTTACTTTTAAAATGTAAGACTTTTTTTTATAACCTAAACTTCTCTATTAGTCTATAGTTTTTTTCCAACCTGGAAAAAAAAATGTAAGCATTATTGTGTAAAAGTTCATATCTCATTCTGAAAAGACGGTTAGAAAGAAAAAATCCTTAAATTCTTAAAATTACCCTATTAGTTTGAGAAAAAAATAGTATTTTCTACCGCCTTGTAATCTTTATTGAAGCACAAAATATTGAGCTTCCTTGGTAGCAATTTGTTAGTTAGGTATCAATTTGTTAGTTAGCTCCCTGACAATCTGCTACCTGTACTGTCATACGGGTATTACATGAGTTCAAACCTGTGAAAAATCAAAATACTATCTTAAAGATACTTGTCACAGAAAGAAATTCTTGGCTAATAAGACCTGGGTTTTCTTGAACTTGCTGCTATTGCTACTACTAACTTTGAAATGGTCTCCCTCCCAGAGTGAGAGTAGGTAAAGAAAATAAGAATTAGTTAACAGGGAATTCTTGAGAGAGTTTGGAGAGCTATCCTGGCAATGATAGAAGAAATCTCCTGTAGAATACAATTGTGGTTGTTTTTTTTATCTTTATTGTTGAAAGTATTACATATGTTCCCTTCTAGCCTGCCCCCACTCCCAAACTCTATTTGTTTTTTTAAAGGAGAGTTAATGTTTAAAAATTCTGAAAACCAGTAAGATTTTGCCCTGACCGGTTTGGCTCGGTGGATAGAGCATCGGCCTGCAGACTCAAGGGTCCCAGGTTCGATTCTGGTCAAGGGCATGTACCTTGGTTGCTGGCAACATACCCAGTAGGGAGTGTGCAGGAGGCAGCTGATCGATGTTTCTCTCTCATCGATGTTTCTAACTCTCTATCCCTCTCCCTTCCTCTCTGTAAAAAATCAATAAAATATATTTTTTTAAAAAACAGTAAGATTTTTATAATTTAACAATATGTTAGTTAGAATTTCAATTTTCAGTTAATATGTTCAGTTTCCTCAGTCTCCACATACTATTGCAGGTAAAGTGCCTTCGATTCTAAAGCTACTGATCTCCAATTATTAATCTGATGCAAGGTATAAAAAGTAAATTAGATATTCTTACATTTCATAATTTTAGGGCACCCTGGTTGTAAGTATGGAATCTGTGCATATGGAACTGAATGTCCTTTTAGGTATAGGAAAGCCAAGGCTAATCATTGTGGAGTTTTCCTTGCAAGGTAGAATTTAACATATGCTTAGAACTTAGAAATGTGGTTAGTGCTCTTTATTTTGTAGGTGGTATAGATATACTCGTTGTGATCTTTTGCTGTGTCTTTCAAAAATATATTTTATAGGGTACATATGCTACAGTATATAAAGGGAGAAGTAAATTGACAGAGAATTTGGTGGCATTAAAAGAGATCCGATTGGAACACGAAGAAGGTGCACCCTGCACAGCGATAAGAGAAGGTATAATTTGATCTTTTGTGAGTAAAATGTATTATATCATAGACAAATATTTGACATTGGGAACTGTTATATAATGGCACATTGGGAAAAGCTATAAGTTAGTATAGGCAGAATGTAAATATATTTCTATCATGGTACCATTTTTTTAAAAATGAGAGATATCCAGAAAATGGTTTGAGGCACTGATGAGCAATTTGGAGGAAAAAGGTACCTTGTACTTTATATGTAATTAATCCTAGAAGTCTCAATAAGCTAACATTTGAGGGAAACAACAGAAGATAATAAGCAGAGTATTATTATATTAGAGACAACTTTAAGTATTAAAAATATCAAACACAGGATCATAAAAGAAAAGAAAAAAATTGACTCTATTAGAATTTCTACTTCAAATCCCCTTGGTGAATTAATGTTTTAAACTTAAGAGATTATTAAATATAATCAATTTATGTTAAACGTACTTCAGGTTATTATAAAGACAGGCTACCATAGACCAATAATTAACTTTCTTTTCTGTTTTGCAGTTTCACTGTTAAAGGATCTAAAACATGCAAATATAGTTACCTTACATGACATTGTTCACACAGATAAATCTTTGACTCTGGTGTTTGAGTATCTGGTAAGCATTTAATTAAAATTCAGTATTTACTTTTGCTTTTTTGTTGGATATTTTTTGAGGATATTTTTTCCATTGATTTTTTAGAGCGAGCATAAGGGAGGGTGGGAGGTGGAGAGAGAGAGAGAAACATTGATTTGAGAGAAATATATCAATTGGTTTCTCCTGCATGCTCCCTGACCGAGCCTGGGATAAACCTGCAATTCTTCAGTGCGCAGATTGACACTCTAACTACTGAGCAACACTGGGCAGGGCTACTTTTGCTTTAATAAAACATAGTAAATTGGATTTTCTAACAGGCCCAGAGACATTTTTGCTTAGTTATTGGTATTTAATTAAATTATGTGGTACATTCAATATCTTTCCTTGGTATCACATAGTAAAGTGCTGTATTTTTTCAGGATAAAGACTTAAAACAGTACATGGATGATTGTGGAAACATCATGAGTATGCACAATGTGAAGGTATGTTTTAATGTGTAATTTTAAATTTTGTTTAAAGCAGAGACTAACCCTAAGCATAAACAAACTACATTACTTAATGAAATATACTAACTTGATAACTATTCTGCTTCAGAATGATCTGTTTGGCATTTTAAAGAGGCTATTGTCCTCTAAATAATTTACTCAGAACTTTTATTAACTATACTACACTACTTCTTAAGATCAGACTTTTTTGTAGAACCAGCTTTCTTTTAAAAATCTTAAAAACCACTTTGGACATTTATTTTCACATCATAACACTGATTCTCTTAGATACAGAGTATATTTACACATGTAATCTGCTTTAAAAACAAAATAAAACCAAAAGCCTATTATATAAAAATCCAAATATTTAAAATAAATACAAATGATTAGTTCATTCTGTGAAAGCCCTTCTTTAAATGGCAAACTTCCCTAATATATTTAAAATGGTACTTAATTATGGAATACAACTAATATTCAAGTTACTAATCTAGTGAGTAAGGCCAGGAACATGCACAAGTATTATGAATAGTAGGCTGGAAATACCACTCTATTGTCAGGAGGAAAAGAGATAATTGTTATGTTTTCTTACCTGTATATCTAAAGATGCAAGTAATGCCAGAAAAGTTTGGCATAATAATCACTGTCAGCTGAAACCCAAAAGTAAGGGAAAAGTAAAATCAAGTAAAAACATTTGATACAGTTGTGTTCTTACAGTAGGTTTCTTTGACCAAAGTGGTATGCTCCAAATTTAGCAAAGATTTACTTATCCAAACTTAGTGGGCAATTTGTGAGAAACTATTCTGGAAATAGGCTGTCTTGGCTGTGGGTTTGAGACAGTTCCAATTCTGTAGATACTAACTTTAAACTTACATTTTTTTAAAAATTGTAATTTTGATAGATATAAAGGAGAATCAGTTTCTTCTACTAAAGGACAATTCAGAATATATTGGATACCACATTGCTAAGAATTTTAGAATAGGGCTTTAAGTGTCTTTCCATATACATTCTCTGAGAATTATTTTCATCATATTTTACATTTTATTTGGCAAGTTGTTGTAAATCTCATTTACATATATTTCGCTTTGTGGTTTTTATTTGTTTTTTTTCCTGCTTTCATATTAGCAATAATTTGGAAAGAAAATAAGTCCTTAGTTATAATTTGACAAAGATTTGAGAAGTTTATGTCTTTTAATGCATGTCTGGCTTAAAGTATTTTGTTTATTTGTTTAAATAGCAAATTTAACTCTCTACTTTTATTTTTCCAAAGTTAAAAAGTAACAGGAATATATGGAAAGAGTAATTTTAAACAAACAAAAAAACCCATAAATATGTAGTATAGAAACTCTGCTACTTAGAATTTCTTTAAGCCTATTGTTTACCTGCTTTGGCTTATTCTCAGAGTTCTAATGTAGCAATTCTCAATCCGTGTACCACAAGAATTGTTAAAACATGCAATACCTGACTATTTAGTTAGGGGCACTGATCTCTTTTCCCTTAGGTTATCAAATAAAAAATTGACAATAGGCAACACAACAATCTCCATTTGGTGTGAATGAATCAAAATTTTTTGTCAGATCAGCCCAAAATATAATATATCTTTTGGTGTGCCTCAGAATTTTAGTAATTTATGTGTGCCATGAGATGAAAAAGGTTGAAAATCACTGTTCTAATGCTTTATTTTTCACCTCGAAGTAAACAAAGGATACACTCTTCAGTCCTCTACTTCAGGCTCTATTTTGTTAATCCCAAAGAGTCAAAAAACCCTCTGTGTTTCATATCCCTTTTTCCACCAAAATCAACACAAAAAGTCTACATTAGCCTTAGGAATTGCTTCTTTCAAAGATTTATTTAGAGCTCTATAGTGCTAATTCCCTGTTCTGAATCATAGCAGATTTTGAAGGCTGAGTAGGAGGTGCTGAAAGTAAAATACCCAGGAGGTAGGTGATAGAAGCTGGTTTAGGTTATTTTTATAGCACATAATTTGCCAGAGCTGTGTGAGGCACTATTCTGTTTGACATCTCAGAGTTTTCATAAAACGACCAATTCCAGTACCTTTAAAAGACATTGTCCCAGGTCAGGTTTTCTTTTTTTGGCAGGGTGGGTGGTGAGGATAGAGTTTGGTTGGTTGTTTTGCCAGAATTTCATAATCAAACTGTAAGCCTTGGTAGGCCTATAAGTTTATGAGGATATGTGTTGTTGTTTTTTTAATTTTATATATTTTTTTTAATGATTTAGAAACAGGAAGAGAGAGAGGGAGAGAGAGAGAGAGAGAGAGATGTTTGAGAAAGAGACATTGACTGCTTCCTGCTTACTCCCAAAACCATTGATTGCTTCCTGCTTACTCCCAAAACGGAGATCTAACCCACAACCTAAGTATGTGCCCTGACTGGGAATCGAACCTGTCACCTTTTGGTGTATTGGTTGACTCTCCAACCAACTGACCACACTGGCAGGCAGGGCAAGGATATGTTTATTTTAAACTGGAGGCCCAGTGCATAAAATTCATGCACTGGGGCGGGGAGGGGAGGAGAGTCCTCAACCCGGTATGCACCCTCTCGCAGTCCAGGACCCCTCGCTCCTTACCGTAAGGCTCGCTGCTCCTTAGCGCTTCAGAGGAGGCGGGAGAGGCTCCTGTCACAGCCAGCCATGAGCCCAGCTTCTGGCTAAGTGGCGCTGCCCTGTGGGAGTGCACTGACCACCAGGGGGCAGCTCCTGCATTGAGTGTCTGCCCCCTGGTGGTCCATGTGCATCATAGCGACTGGTCATTCCGCTGTTTGGTCAATGTGCATATTAGGCTTTTATTATATAGGATCATTTTCTATAATAAGCAAACTATTACTTCTAATACAAAGTTTCATTTCACTTTATGAAACTGCTATTTTTATTTATTGCATAGATACTATCAGACTAAAAAAATAGATTGATGTTTCAAATAGAAAACAACTATATAAGGAAAAGGTTTTGTACTTAGGGTATGATTCCTTTTTATTTTTTTGCTATTCTAAGCCAGTTGCTTTTCTCTTTACCATAACTTACACTTACACCAAAGTCTGTCTCATTATCTGTAAGACTAATTTCTATTTATTTGTTTCTGTAGCTGTTTTTATACCAAATTCTACGTGGTTTGGCATATTGCCACAGAAGGAAAGTGTTGCACCGAGACTTGAAACCACAGAACCTCCTCATTAATGAAAAAGGAGAACTAAAGCTAGCCGATTTTGGTACGGAATGTATGAGATATTTATAAATAGTTCTAGGTGGTTAGAACAACCGTTGACACTGTAATTGTTTTTATATGAGTGTGGAAATTTTCTGTATAAGAAATTCTGAATAAGATATTTGACAAAAACTTTGGTAGGTGAGTTATGTTAGTAAATGCTAAAAGGCACCATTCTCAAGTGTGATCCCTAGACCCCGAAGGCCCTTTCAGGAGGTCTCCAAAAGTCTAATATGTTATCAAATTTATACTGAATGTTATTTGCCTTTTTCACTGTATTAATATTTGTATTGATGATCCAAAAGCAATAAGGGGTAATGTTACTAGTGCCTTGGTATAAATCAAGGCAGTGACACCAAACTGTACTTACCTGGTAGTAGTCATTGTATTCTTTTAGTAACAAATTAAAAATTCACTGTTATTAAGTGGTAAATTCTAGAAATTTCTATACTTTTACTTATTTAAACCTTTACCATTTGTTTGAAAGGTAGGTTGCTATTTGTATTTCCTTCCTTAAAAAGGAAATGGTCATGTGTTTAAACAAGAAAGTACAAGTTATTTGCATAGGCTTATATATATTACACAATCTCCTACACATGGTTTATTTTCCTCATAATGGTTATTACCCCCTCAGACTCTCTCCTCTTTTTGCCAAGCTGCATTCACTGTTCTTTATTCTATAATCCCAAAATGAATGGCAATGATAGAGAAATCCAGCTTGCCTATTAGAAATTCCATACAGGAATGGCAAGGGCCATCAAAAATTTACTTTTGGGAGTTCAAGGTTGGTGGGAAGAATACTATCAGTGCTTGAAATTTTGCTTCTAACTTCTACACAGCAAGCCAAGTAAATCTTATCTTCCACAAGCCAACAAGAAATTCTGATTTTTCCATAAGATAATATAATCAATTTTGTGTTTTGCTTTTAGTTATATATTATTGGTTGCATTAGTAATGCATATGTGTTGCACTGAAACTTGAAACCACAGACCTCCTCGTTAATGAAAAAGGAAAACCAATATTTTTTTTACTGGTTGCAAGTAGGGGAGGGTCAGGTAACTTTGAGTATTTTACTGTAAATTGTTTTTTATCCCTGTGAAAATTCTACTCTTTTTGCTGTAATTGGTGAAATTCAGGTTTAGTAAGTACTACTATAGACATTTTCATCTCTAATAGAAAATGGCTTATATAATAATACTGTATCACATGTAAGTACTTTGGTTTGGAAGAGATTATTATTTAATTTCATGCCAATGCTGAAATTCAGATTGTGAACCAGGACCCTGTGTGAACAAGCACCCTAGTTCAGAATTCTCTCAGGAGTAGGAGAGTAAGGTACTGAGGAAACTGTAACTGGCAGTTGTTTTGATGCCATAGGTTATAGAATAAGTCAACTTGTGGCCCTGTCCTTTGCCCCCATATAACCACTATTCATATCAGGAAGAGCGATCAAAAAGCTGCTCTCATCTTGCTAATTACCAAAATTGGTAGGAAAATAATTTGTTGAATTTATTTTTCCAAGTTAGGACGGTAGAATAAAACTTGTAATTAAATGAAATATTATCAACATTGTTCTAGTTACACCCTTTAGCCATCAAACAAAAATAGTATGAATGCTACCTATTATTTTAAATTCTGGTTTCATTGGAGTGACTTAATCCAGTTTATTAAAATATTATCATTTTATGACATTTAAAAGATGTAATATTTTAATCAGATATGTTATATATAACAGAAATCGCAGCCTGAAAAAGTAATTATTCCTTGTTTGAAATAAACTATATATTAAAATAAATTTATATTTCTTCAGACATCTTTTAAAGTTGCTTCTTCAGAATTTTGAGGCTTGGAGGTAGTAAAAATAACTCTCTTATGCCAGTGGCTCAAGAGGGAAAATTGTGAACTCACCCTTACTTCTAGATAATCAGTGAATTCCATATTAAATTGGCAAAGGAATGGTATGTGTTTTATATCATTTACAACAATTAATAATACCCTTTAAAGGCAGTGAGGTTTGTCTTATTTTAAAATTATCCATATAACGTAAAATTTAAAAAGAGTACAGAAAAGCAGTGTAATTTATTCTAAGGAACTTTCTCTAAATAGATTTTTGCAAGAAAATTGTCAATAAAACTCTACAGAATGGTGTCAGATGGGTACTAGACTTATCAGGGTGATCACTTCGTAAGTTATATAAATATCTAATCAGTATGTTGTACACATGAAGCTAATATATTGTTTGTCAACTGTAATTGAAAAGTAAAAAAATATATATTTAAAAAGTAGGTTTAGAGATTAAAAAAAGGTTTGGGACCAATAGCTTCTCTTTTTTTTTTTTTGGATAAAAATTGGTGTAGCAAATTAAAGTTGGAATCAGGTTAAAAGGTGACAAAAGACTATAGCTGTAAGAAATAAAATTGTTCATCTCAATGTCATTGGTCCATTTTGCATTAATTTAAGTTTAGCTAGGAAATAATTTTGGCATGATTCATGGATAACAGGAAAATATCTTAAGTTTAAATTAACCCAGACACTGTACCAGGTGCATTCATATGCATAAAAGTAAGCATAATACCTATTGTGGGATTACTATTACTTAGTTTAATTACGTAAGGATTTGCTGATCCCTTACACCAAGCACAGTTAAAAAAAAAATCATAAAACTAATTTTGTTAAGTTTTAAAAAGCTACAGAGTAGTCATCTCAGGCATCCTAGTGATTGGAGTCATGGTGAGGACATTGGCTGGGAAATTCATTACAGCTATTTCTTTTTTTCTTTCCCTTTGAAGGACTAGCCAGAGCCAAGTCAGTTCCCACAAAGACCTACTCAAATGAAGTTGTCACACTATGGTACCGGCCACCTGATGTGCTTCTCGGTTCCTCAGAGTACTCAACACAGATTGACATGTGGTAAATATATGTGGATGTTATTGCTATTTATAATTTTGAAAGAATGTAGCCATAAATACAGGGCATACTGATAGATATTTGACTTTTAAGGAGATATTAAAGAGCCATGAGATATAAGCAGTGACTACGATTTCTGGCACGTAAGAGCACCTAGGTTTAAATACCAATTCTGCCACTTATATCTGTATAATAACCTTATTCAGATTATAGACCTGTGCCTTAGTTTCCTCATTTAAGGAAATGGGAATAGTAACAATAATGACTTTAAATGACTGTTCTGTGCATAATATTAAGGCCAAATGAGCTAATACATATAAAGCACTTAGAAGAGTGTCTGGTACATAGTAATTTAAAACAAAATTATTGTTTTTATTGTCATTTAATAGTCACCAAAATCTACTTGCTTTAAGGTAATCTAAAAAGAATAAAATATTATAACCATCTTCCTCACACACCACTTTGATCATGACACCCCTTCATTCAAACACCTTTGCTCCTTCCCTATTCATTACCTTTAGAATAAGGTACAGTTCTTCACCCTGGTACTTAATAATGGTCTCTATAAAATGTCTCTAAGCTGCCTTTTCCAACTTACTTCAGAGGATCCCTATACACAGATGTTCCCTTTTAGCTAAATGGGCTACTCATTATATTTCAAACATAACCTGGGCTTTCCCACTTTTGCTGTGCTCACACCAGTCCATCCATCTGGAATGCCTGTTCTTTCTCTAATGGGCCTGTACCTAGGAACTTTCAAAACACAATTTTTCATAAATCCTTCTTGAATACAACCTAGCCTCCGGTGGCAATTTCTTCCTCTGAAATGCAGTTGCATTTCATTGCCTATACCCTTCATGTAGTGATAAATCATATACTTCCTTCTGTTGTCCTGGGTTGAACAATTATATAATTTTGTTTTGTATAACAGTTTTCTTTTTTTAAACTTATTTTCTAAATTGTGGTAAATAAAATTTACCATTTTAATCCATTTTAAATGTACAGTTCTCTGTGATTAAGGACATTCACATTGTTGTACAACCATTACCACCATCCATTTCCAGAATTTTTTTCATCTTGCAAAACTGAAACACTATACCCATTAACTCCCTATATCCTCCTCCCACTGTACCCATTAAACAGCTCCCTATATCCTCCTCCCTTCGGCCCCTGGCAACCATCATTCCACTTTCTGTCTCTGAATTTGACTTTTCTAAGTACTTCATATCAATGGAATTATGTAGTCTTTTTGTGACGGACCTATTTCACTTAGCATAAGTGTCTTCAAAATTCACCCACGTTGTAGATATTTGACTTTTAAGACTGAATAATCATTGCATAGGTGTGCAACATTTTATTTATCCATTCATCTGTCAGTGGACACGGGCATTGTTTTCTCCTTTTGGCTATTGTGAATAATGTTGCTATGGATATGGGTGTACAAATACCTCTTTGAGGCTTGCTTTCGGTTCTTTTGGGTATATACTTAGGAGTGGAATTGCTGGATCATATGGTAATTCTATTTTAAAAGTTTCTGAGGAACTACCATATTTTTTCCATCATGGTACCATCATTTTCTTTCCATATAACATTTTAATATATAAAATTAAATGTTATATACAGTTCTAGATTGTGATTCCTTAAATGGGAAGGCTGTAGTCACACAAATTGTAGAAGAGAGTATCTATTCATTTAGCCTCCATCCATTTCTCTTCCTTCTCTTACACACACACATACTCAAACACTCTCTATCCTGCACCTACCTGTTCTATCTCTGCTTTCTGCATAAAAACATCTTGAATCATTTGCTTCTTCCTACCACTGCTACCCACTACCTAACACATAGTAAGCATTAAGTCACTCTTAGCTATTGTTACTGTTACTCTTCAAGGATCATGCAGAGGATAGCTGGATATTTGATGTGTGAAAAATGGATATAGCAATATGGAAATTGAGACAAATAGGATAAATGTTAATATCTCTGCAGGAGGTTTTCTAAAAGCAGACTATTACAAAATTCTCCTGAGAGGCCATCTTAAGAAAAAGATTTTTGTGTGTCATAATATGTAAGTGGGTTACTCATCATTTTTTATGATATATTTTAAAGGGGTGTTGGTTGCATTTTCTTTGAAATGGCTTCTGGAAGACCTCTGTTTCCAGGATCAACTGTGGAAGATGAACTGCACTTAATTTTCCGACTGCTAGGTAACAAGAAATCTTTTAAAGACTATTTAAAAATTTGATACTGAGACTAACATAAAGAGCTATTTGTTATATGAATTATAAATTAAATAATTATAAATACAAATCCTTCTAGGTAACGTTTTACTTACTGAATTCCACCTTTGTGGAAGAACAGAGAAGAGAAATATTGAAAATTGACCTTTACCGTATTACTAGGAAATATTTCTAGCTTAGGTGTCATTTAGGCATCATAATTTTTATGGCATCATTGCATATTCCTAAAAAAAGACCATATGTTTACTATTTTTGTCATTTCTGTTTCAGTTGAAAGTCAGATCATCTACTAAATATAAATTGTTCTTTAAAACACTTTCTTAGCTCTGCCTCGTTATACATATTTGCATATATATAAGTTTTTACATATTTATATAAATTTTTACATATTTATATGTATATAATTTTTTTTAACTTAGGGACTCCATCTCAGGAAACTTGGCCAGGTGTTTCTTCAAATGATGAGTTCAAGAACTACAACTTCCCAAAATATAAACCACAACCTCTAATTAACCATGCACCCAGGTATTTTTTTTATTTTCTCTAAGTAAAAGGGGGAATATGTACTTGATTCTTTTTACTCTCATGAAGCATTATTCACAGTAAGGATTCAATATTTAATACACATACACAATTCTTAAATATTTTAGTAACTAATTTAATTGAGCCTTCCTTCCTGTGTCAGATTAATTTTATAATTCAGTGACCAAGGATCACCAAATTATGTGACCACAGAATTGAGCTGTATACAAAGTGAACATAGAACGTATGTATTAGAATTCTAGAGTATATATAGATGTTCCCTTTACCAGAAAGAAGGCATTAATTCCTTATTCAATGCCATGATGAAATTTCTGCTTCGCTTTCTACAGAATCAGTCTCTACTTTTTTGTTTGTTTTGTTAATTCTCACCTAAGAGTATTTTTTCCATTGATTTTTAGAGAGAGTGGAAGGGAGAGGGAGAGACAGAGAAACAGCGATGTGAGAGAGGCACATCAATTAGTTGCCTCCTGCACACGCCCTGACCGGGGCTGGGAATCGAGCCTGCAACCAGGGAGTTTGTATGCTTTTGACCAGAATTGAGCCTGAGACCCTTCGGTCCGTGGGCCAATGCTCTAACCACTTACCACCCGGCTAGGGCTATATTTACTTTTTTTAAAACCTAAGATAGTGTTATAAGTAAAATCTTGACACTGACAAAAGGTGACTCAGCATTATTTTGGTCAAAGTTAATCACATAATAATTTGTATTTGAAGAATATAAACTCTGACCTCTCATATCCTCAATTTGGCCATTCAATTAGTTTCTTCTGAGACCTACCCCTAGACCCATCTGACTCCCAGTAAAATTTGACTTGCAGAATGTATTACATTTTAGTTAGTAACGCAGAATAATATCTGTGACTGTATTTTTTCATCTTTCCTTAAAAAAATATAAAAAGGGCACCAAGATACCAAATAAGGCCAATGTCTGTTTTACTCAAACGTTATTCACATTGCTCACAACATAACACACTTGATCTAGTTTAATTTATTCTGTGGCTATGGAAGAATAGCAATGCAGTTCTCATACCAAAAATATCTTTAAAGTGTTTATGTGAGTTGATGTTCTTATTGTTACTGTAGTAACTAATAACATTCTAAGTATTCCTGCTTAGGAAGAATCATATTATGTGCTGGACTTTGTGTATGTGTCTTTCCCAAGTAGCGTAAATCCTATTTTATGTATCTATTGCTTGCTATTGTAATATCCAGTGTAGAAGGTTAAAGCTCTTCTTTAAAGCAGATTCTCCATGATCTTAGCACTGAGTTTGTCTGTGTCCAAGAAGCTCTATGTATTTGTCAGAATGGCAAACTACAGAGGATTAAGAGTCTGGCAAATGTCTAGGCCACAGCATCCACAATACTCACTAGGAGCCCTCAGGTGGGAAAATATTCTTTATCCATAATTGTGCTTTCAATTTGCAAGTGAAAGGCAGCAAGAGAGAACTTGTGGTTTCTGATCAGGAGATTATCCCGTTAAGATAATCCCTAAATCCTCTACTCCCTATTATATTAAATTCATCGCTATAATTATGTCTTTATCAACTGTATCATTCATTGGTTTTGTAGCCCTGTAAATTAAGTTTTATGAAGTTATTGAGACATACTTAAATTGCACTTTATAGTTCCTAGTGCCCCATGCTCAGCAGACTACCTGTTTATCTTGACCACAGTGATACATAGTGGGATCACTTTTCTCCTTGTTTTCACCTATATAATAGGAAAATGATGCTTTTGTACTCTTGCCTTCAGTGGAACACTGAAAATTGATGCAATTTACTTAAGCTTTCCTGATAAATAGTGGTTACTTTGGTTTGAGACAGAATGGTGATTTTTAAAAATATTCTCTACTTTTGCCTTAGCCAGTTTGGCTCAGTGGGTAGAGCATCAGCACACGGACTGGAGGGTCCCAGGTTTGATTCCAGTCAAGGGCACATACCTTGGTTGCAGGCTTGATCACCAGCCCTGGTTGGGGCATGTGCTGGAGGCAACCATTCGATGTATGTCTCTCACATCGATGTTTCTCTCTGTCTGTCCCCCTCCCTTCCCCTCTCTCTAAAAATCAATGGAAAAATATCCGTGGGTGAAGATTAACAAAACCAGAGAAAATTCTATAGTTTTTAATAATCTAATTTGTTTTTGAATATTGGAAATTTGAATTTGCGCCCGGTTATTTATGGTTTCTTCTTAAATAAGTGGTGAGATTAGTCTTTTGAGGATAAGACAGCTTTGGTCTATTTGAAAGAACAAGAGTGGCTATTTTAGAGCACTAGGTTTCACAGATTAAAACATTTGGAAAGTAGTTTTGTTTGAAAAGTTGCTATACGCTAAGATAAAAGAATAAACTGCCACTTGTTTTTTGCTGTTTCTAGGTTAGACTCTGAAGGAATCGAATTGATAACAAAATTTCTTCAGGTAAGTTACATGTTATGTTGTAATTGTTAAATGGCTCAACTTCTCTGAGACTCAGTTTCTTCATCTGTAGAATGGGATCAATAATACCTCCTTCAAAAATTTGTCATGACAATTAAATAATATTATTGTAGTATCTAGCATGCTTAAGGTATATGCTAAAGTAAAAATATTATGGTCTCTCATAATGTGTTTGGTGAGTCTCTCATTGTGACCTTGAATAGTCTGAGGCAGTTAGCTGCTGTCATCTATCAACTATGTCACGGCCATGTTCTCTGCAATTCGTGTTTTCTTATGTTCTCTTTGTCTTCCTTATACTTAATTTCTGTACAAGGTGCTGCACCTCCACATAGCATTCATATCATCATTCAAAGCAGGGAGAAGAGAGAGTATGATGCTTGCGTCAGCCACATTAGCCCTTTTGTGTTTGAAAAGTCAAAGCTTTTCCAGAAATCCCTGTAAGGTTTTTTTCAAAACTAACTCTTGTTGGCCAGAACATTAATTGTAAGAGAGTCTGGGAATTGAGGAGCAGAATTATCATAATTAGCCCAAACTAGGACAGTCATGATTCATGATCCATCTGTTGGAGTTGAAGCAATGGACACCTGAAATAAATCTAGGTTATCTATCAAGGGAAAGGGGGAAATGGGTATTGAATAGGTAATTTAATAATGTCTGTCATAGAGATATATTTTCAATGATCCTTTGGTGTTCATGAAGAAAAGTAACACCAAAATTCAAGTATTTTAATTTTTCATCTCTTCAAACAATACGGGGAATCTAAATTTTTAGGTAAGCTCCAACTTTACCTTAGAAATTTGGGGCTGAGATATAGTCACTAATAACTCAAATTAGAGCATATCTGAGGCACCTCCAAATTGATTCTTTGAAAATAGTGATTGTATCAAGTAATCAAAGTAAAGTAGTGTTAACTTCCCTCCAGTAACAGTATTTAGAGAAAAAGTTAATGAAGCAATTCTTTGCTTTTTCACAGTATGAATCTAAGAAAAGAGTTCCAGCAGAAGAAGCCATGAAACATGTGTACTTTCGAAGTCTGGGACCAAGGATACATGCCTTACCTGAAAGTAAGAGAAATTTTAGTGTTCTCCTCCTTCCCCCACACCTTCTTTCTTTTCGTTTGTCCAGGGTAGGAGACTGAGGTGAATTAGGGGATTAGGAAGAGATTGCTGTTGGTTTTTTTGTTTTGTTTTTATTTATCCTCACCCAAGGATATGTTTTTATTGATTTGAGAGAGAGAAACATCAATGTGAGAGAGAGACATTGATCAGTTGTCTTCTGTACAAGCCACAACTGAGGATCAAACCCGCATCCTGGGTACATGCCCTGACCGGGAATGGAACTTACAACCCTTTGGTGCACGGGATGATGCTCCAGCCAACTGAGTCACCCAGCCAGGGCAAGATTGCTGTTGGTTTTTAAGCCTAAAATTCTAGTCTTCTTGTAATTAGATCAGAATTTCTTTATGTATTGGTTGCCTGTGTTTTAATTTATTTAACACTGAGCACATTGCCACTATTCTGTAAGAAATCAATAGTACTTAGGCAAGAGTAATTAATCTTATTGGACTTAAGTTGGAAATGCCATCTGATGATAGACATTGTCATTAGTCCCAATCTGTATTGCTTTGGTTCAGAGTTGTTAAAAAAAAATGGATTTCAGGCAAAAAAACAACAACAATGAAACACAACCAAAACATAAGATTGTTTTCTTGTGAAAGTAGAGTTCCTTTTTAAGACATAAAGATGATTTTCCTTTACTATTGCCCTGACAGTAGTGAGCCTACTGTTAGTTACTAAACCAGCCCATTTCTTGTGCCTGAGGTAACTGCTTGATTCTACTCATAACATTCTTTTTTTTAATTACCTCAATATTTTACTTTAAAATTAAGTAAGGTGACTGGGAAATTAGAATATTTGGGAACTGAGCTTCTAAAATCTTATATTATTTCTCATTTACTAGACAATATTGATTCATCAAAGTTTGCTTATTGGAATCAAGACTTTCCACTTAGAATTTACAATATTGTTTTTAATGAAAGATTATCTCTCTGGCAGAGACTGAAAATGAGGAAGGTGAATTACAGGTGTTTTTAAGATGATACTTACATTTCATTATTAATATCAAATTTCATAGTTTAAGGTAGGCAGTTATGTACAAACCTAATCCTTGTTCTTATCTAAAAAAATCTGAAGACAGTTTGAGGACCTGATACCTTCATGCCATCATAGGAGGGAGGAAAAGGGCAGAGAGAGGAAAAGCAATACATTTTGATTAGGTCTCCCAACTCCAGTAGATCCTAGAAATATCAATGTATAGTCTCCTTAGAGAACTACATACTTGAAGCATGATTTAAAGCAGAAATGGGGGGTGGGGTCCTAAAGAGAGATTATTTTTTGGTTTTCTTAAAACATTGGGGCAAAAGGGAAAATATTTCAGCAGGGCTATAACCTTGTAAATGTAGTATAAATGTTTCATGTTGAATCAATATTCATTTTTAAACATTTGTCTATAGTTGGTTTATATTTGTTTTAATACTGTTAGACCTCACCTGATAATTCCTGTCTGTGTATTTTAGGTGTATCAATATTCAGTTTGAAAGAGATTCAGTTGCAAAAGGACCCAGGTTTTCGAAATTCTTCTTATCCAGAGACAGGTGTGTTTGTCATAAACCATTTCACGTGTCGATCATGAAATTATGCATGGAACCAACTTTTTGGTTTATAAGTTGATCAGTAAAATTATTGATGTAAAAACCAATGTACAGTGCATTCCACAACTGTGTATGTTTAGCATTGCATATTCTCAGTAATTCTTCAGAGAGAAATCTAACTCAGTCAAGTCAGGGATCCTGAAAGCTGCAGATGGCACAGAAACCTTTTACAAGTGGCCTGGCTTGATCATTGCACATGCCATCCTGGTACCTGAGGCAGAAGACACATCTTGTGCTTCCCTAGTCATCAGGTTCATCACTTCGAAGCATAGAAGCTGTAGACTGACCCCATCGACAAAGGGGTCATTTAAGACACAGTATTGATCACTCTTACCGTGGAAAATTAGCTTTGCTGGTGGGAACATTAGCATCCTAGAGTCACCAAATACTGTATGTGGGATAAAATTGAACCTCGAACTGCCTCATAAAATGACTTTATATTTTAGGACATGGGAAGAACAGAAGACAGAGCATGCTCTTTTAAGTCTGATAACATGGTTTCAAGCCCAGCCCCCAGCCTTTCTTATCAATCAAGGACTCAGATCTGAAGGCAATTATTTCTTTTGGTGGACTTGGAATCTCCGTTTGTCTACACTGTCCTCTTCACAGTGGAGTCTTTTTATTTCAGACCTACAGATTGTTTTTATATTTGTTGTCACAGTGTGACAATTTTTTTGTACAGTTGGTTTTAAGGTCTTCTCTGCCATTAGAGCCAGTAGGTTACAGCTATTGATGTAACTGTAGCTGCAATTTTTGTGCAGGACTGAAACACAGTGCATTATTTATTGCGGAATCATTGCTGCTAAATAACTACTGTCTGTTTATTTAACACAACAGTTGAATGCCTGAAGAAGTTGCAGTGGCTTTATTATGTGAATGCATCTGTTTCTCCTCATGAATTGTTTTACTGCTGCATTTTTGTTTGTTTTTAAAATTAAACTGCGGTGTTTTCTGGAATGTAAATTCAGCTTTGCTTAACAGTAAAATAAGTGAGCCATCTTGAACACTCTAAGTTCATGCTATATAATCTATATAATTTTTTTTATTGAACATTGGCAAATAGAGTAGCTAAGAAATTGATAAGCACGTTATGTTTAGGAAAACGCAATGCAGAAGTTGATTCAAGCAAGTGAACACCTGACATTTTGGGGATCTCACATTAGATACCAGAAAATTAAAGCACCAAAATTATTTATTTTTACCTTTCCTCATTTTAGAAATATTTACTGCATATTATTGGATATTTTTTACTAATACACTTATCTATTTTACATCGTGCTTTAATTTAGTTCAGACGAAACCATACAAGTCCAAACATGAGAGGTCTTATTTGTTTTAAATATAATTCTTTTATTAGAAAGGATGATATATCATTGAGGAACAATTTATTTCGTTTGGGGTTGTCTGTATGTGTGTATTTTAATAACATTCAATTGGAATCAGCTGAAAGCTGTAATATGTCTTTGAAATGAGCCATGATAAATACAAATGAGAGAAGAGAGAGCTTAGAGGATTGTTTTAAAGCATTTTAGATATTATCTGTTTACCAGATACAAAATTACAATTTTAATTATGCATCTCTTTGAACATCATAAACACACCTTGGTGTTAGTAATAATGTTTTAAGCATTTGTGTTAACTTTTAGGACTATTTGTTTAGTGCATCTTACAAACTACAAATCTTAATTGGTATATTTTGAGGTGGTCATGTAAATTTTTGGCTTATATATCATGAAAATAGTCATAACTTAATTTTCTTCCTGACATTCATTCACTGTAAAACATTCAGGGGTCCTACCATTTCTGTTCAGGAAATCTTGTAGTTTATTGTTATTTAACAGTATTAAGTGAATTTTTGTATATTTCATTTTAACTTTATTTGTGAATAGTGATTGTGGCATGCTTAGGGTGTTATTTTAATATTTCATGATAGTGAAATTTTAATTTTTTAAAAAAAATTTCTGGAAGAAACAGATTTATGTGTAATGGTGAATATTGGACCACTACTGCTTTTCACTTTTGTAAATAAGTTTTATGTTAAACCCTGTAGCCTAACAAACTGCTGTTATTTCTAACTGACAGACATGTATTAGAAGGTTATAAATATTATGTGAAATTCCTCCCTTTTGTTTTGAAATTTATAATAACAAAATATTCATGTTGTTAAGATGTGGTTTTGTTGTCACAGTTCTTTCTGGGGGAAAAAGGCTGTGGTGTAGGATGGGATCACTTTTTTTTATGGGACTCATTGATTCTTGCATATAAAATGTGAAGAAATATAACCCAGTAGTTATGTAAAATTATTCTTCCTAGGAAGTCTTAGGAATGTTTATTTTATTAAGGAATTTTGGTGGGATTTTTTGTTTGCATATTTGTTTTGTATTTTGGGGAGTTGTTGTGTGTTGTTTTTTTTTATACTTGAGTACCATTCAGATCCTAGAAACTCTTCAATGAAGAGAATTGAAATTCAGAAATTTTTTTGAAATTTTTATTGAATTTATTGGGGTGACATCCTATATAATAAAAGGGTAATATGCAAATAGACTGAACGGTAGAACAACTGAACAACCAACCAAAGCGTAATATGCTAATGATATGCTAAGGCTGCTCAACCTCTCACTATGACATGCACTGACCACCAGGGGGCAGACAGTCGACCAGTCGCTATGACATGTACTGACCATCGGGGCAGATGCTCCAACTGGTAGGTTAGCTTGCTGCTGGGGTCCGGCCAATTGGGACTGAGTGAGATGGGCCGGACACACCCTGGAGCCCTCCCGCAGTCCCTCCCTGGCTCGATTGTGACCTGGTGGGGTTCCTCAGCCTGGCCTGTGCCCTCTCGCAATCTGGGACCCCTTGGGGGATGTCAGAGATCTGGTTTCAGCCCGATCCCGCAGGCCACTCCCCTTAGGAGGGCGCCAGATGCAGGGCAGATCCTAGAAACTCTTCAATGAAGAGAATTGAAATTCAGAAATTTTTTTGAAATTTTTATTGAATTTATTGGGGTGACATCCTATATAATAAAAGGGTAATATGCAAATAGACTGAACGGTAGAACAACTGAACAACCAACCAAAGCGTAATATGCTAATGATATGCTAAGGCTGCTCAACCTCTCACTATGACATGCACTGACCACCAGGGGGCAGACAGTCGACCAGTCGCTATGACATGTACTGACCATCGGGGCAGATGCTCCAACTGGTAGGTTAGCTTGCTGCTGGGGTCCGGCCAATTGGGACTGAGTGAGATGGGCCGGACACACCCTGGAGCCCTCCCGCAGTCCCTCCCTGGCTCGATTGTGACCTGGTGGGGTTCCTCAGCCTGGCCTGTGCCCTCTCGCAATCTGGGACCCCTTGGGGGATGTCAGAGATCTGGTTTCAGCCCGATCCCGCAGGCCACTCCCCTTAGGAGGGCGCCAGATGCAGGGCTCATGGCTGGTGAGCACTGCTGTAGCAGCGCAAGCCTCTCCCGATCAGGACTGATTGGGTGCGAGCCCACGGCAGGCACAGTGGGGCCAGGATGAGCGGGAGTGGCAGGTAGGAGCTGCAGGCAGCATTGGACTGCAGGTTTCAGCCTGATCCCTGCAGGCCACCCAGAGGGAACCCACCGGTGCACGAATTCATGCACCGGGCTTCTAGTTGGTTAATAAAATTATATAGGTTTCAAGTGTACAGTCCTAAAAATTTTTATCTGTATATTGTATTGTGTGTTCACCACCCAAATTGTTGTGAGGTTTTTTTGTTTGTTTAATCCCTTCACCTTTTTCACCCAGTCTCCCAACCTCCCCCCTCCTCCATCCCCTCTGACACTTGTCAGTCTGTTCTCTGTATTTATGAGTCTGTTTCTATTTTAATTTATTTTGTTCATTATATTTCACATGTAAGTGAAATCATAAGGTATTTGTTTTTCTCTGACTGGCTTACTTCACTTAGCATAATGCTCTCCAGGTCCCTGCATGCTGTTGGAAAAGGTAAGATTTTCTTCTTTTTTACAGTTGAATAGTATTCTATTTTGTAAATGTACTAGTTTTTTTATCCACTCATCTACTGATGGGTACTTGGGCTGCTTCCAAATCTTGGCTATTGTAAATAACACTGCAATGAACATAAAGATGCATATATTCTTTCGAATTAGTGTTTTGGGTTTCTTCAGATATAGTTCCAGAAATTGCTGGGTCATAAGGCAGTTCCTTTATTAATTTTTTGGAAACTCAGAAATTTTGAATCTTGAACACTTACGATTTGTCTTAAGTTGACAAGGTTCTTAAAGATGAAATAGGATGACTTGTTTTTCTTCCAAGTGATGTTGTTTTCTGGAATATAAACTCATTGAATTTGTCACTTTATATGGAAGTAGCTGGATTTTTATTGGTGCTTTATCAGGTGATGTTTAGAGTCTTGTTAACATGCTATAATTATTATCTTTTGGATTTAAGACAATTTATGAAGGTTTTTTTAATGTTTTTGTTTACTATCTTTTTAATAGTGGTAAAATCCATATAACAAAAAAGTTGCCATTTTTTACTCATTGTAAATATGCAGTTCAATGGCATTAGATTCACAATATTGTACAGCAATTACCACTATTTCCAAAATTTTCATCACTCCAAACAAAAGCTCTGTACCCATTAAATAAGCCCTCATTTTTCCCATACCCCAAGTCCCTAGTAACCTCAAATATACTTTTTGTTAATGAATTTGCATATTCTAGATATTTCATAAAAGTGGAATCATATTGTATTTATCCTTTTGTGTCTGACCTGTTTCACTTAGCATAATGTTTTCAAGGTTTAATGATGTAGCATGTCAGAAATTCTTTTTTACATGGCTGAATAATATTCTGATACGAATATACGATGTTTTGTTTATCCATTCATCTGTTGATGGACCTTGGGTTTTTCTCTCCTTTTGATTACTGTGAATAATGCTGCTGTGGACATTGGAAACTTTTGTTGAGTCCTTGTTTACCAAATTCTTTGAGTTTATATACTTAGGATTGGAATTGTTTGGTTACTTAGTAACTCTATGTTTAACTTTTTGAGGAACTGCCAAACTGTTTTCCAGAGCAACTACACTATATTACATTCCCAATGGTAATGTGAGAGTTCCAATTTCTCCTCATCAATCGCCAACACTTGTTGTTGTTGTTGTTGTTGTTATTGTACTAGAGACCTGGTGCACAAATTCATGCGCAGGTGGGGTCCTTTGGCCTGGCCAGTGATTGGGCTGGTCAGGGCCGTCTCATGGGAGGTTGGCTGTGGGAGCGCACTGACCACCAGGGGGCAGCTCCTACGTTGAGTGTCTGCCCCCTGGTGCTCAGTGTGCATCATAGCTACTGGCCGGTCATCTAGTCATAATGGTCGCTTAGGCTTTTATATATATAGATTCATTCTAATGGGAACTTGTGGTTTTTTCATTTCCCTAGTAACTATTGATGTTGAGCATCTTTTCATCTGTCATTTGTATATCTGCTTTGGAGAAAAATGTGAATTCAAGTCCATTGCCCATTTTTAAATTGTGTCACCTTTTTGTTGTTGAGTTGTAGTTTTTTTTGTATATTCTACATATTAGACTCTTATGAGGTATATGATTTGCAGTTTCTTCCAGTCTGTGGATTGTCTTTCACTTTCTTAATGGTGTCATTTTGGTGTGCAAAAGTTTTAATCCTAATGAAGTCCAGTGTATCTATTTTTCTTTTGTTGCCTCTGCGTTTGGTGGCATATTTGTGAAACTATTGCCAAATCCAAGGTCATGAATATTTTCCTGTTTAAGGTTTTTATACTGTTACTGCTTACATTTAGAGCCCTAATCCATTTTTAATTAATTTTGGTATATGGTGTCAAGTAGGCCCAACTTATTCTTCTGCATGTGAATATCTAGTTTTCCCAGCACTATTTGTTGAAAAGACTATTCTTTTCTCTCTGGTCTTGGCACTCTTGTTGAAAATCAATTGACCATAGATGTGAGGGCTTATTTTGGCTTTCTTTATTCTATTCTGTTGGTCTAAATCTCTGTCCTTTGCCTGTACAATGTTTTGATTACTTGTAATTTTGTAAGTTTTGAAATCAAGAAGTGTGGGTTGTTTTTGTTCATATAAGTATTGTTTTGACTCTTGAGGTCCCTTAAAATTCTATATAAATTTTAGGATGAAATTGTTTTATTCTGGGAAAAGAAAATGTCATTGGGATTGTAATAGGAATTGCATTGAATCTGTAGGTCCCCACTTTGGATCTTAACAATGTTGTCTTCTAATACATGAACATAGGATGTCTTTAATTTCTTGTAGCAATGTTTCATAGTTTTCAGTGTACAAGTCTTGTGTCGTCTTGATTAAATTTATTCATTATTATATTTGACTAGAGGCCCGGTGCATGAAATTCGTGCACGGGTGGGGGGGTCCCTCAGCCCGGTCTGCACCCTTACGCAATTCGAGACCGCTGGCTCCTAACCGCTCACCTGCCTGCCGGCCTGATCACCCCTAAACCCTCTGCCTGCTGGCCTGGTTGCCCCTAACTGCCCTCCCCTGCTGGCCTGATCGCCCTAACTGCCCTCCCCTGCCAGCCTGATCACCCCTAACTGCCCTCCCCCGCCAGCCTGATCTCCCCTAACTGTTCTCCCCTGCCGGCTTGATCACCCCTAACCACCTCTGCCTCAGCCCCCGCCACCATGGCTTTGTCTGGAAGGAAGGCAGGACGACCGGAAGATGTCCAGTCGACCCTGGTCTAATTAGCACATTACCCTTTTATTAGTATAGACTAGAGGCCCGCTGCATGAAATATGTGCACTGGGCGGAGGGCCCTCAGCCCAGCCTGCACCCTCTCCAATCTGGGATGTCCAACTTCCAGTTTAGGCCTGATCCCACAGGAATCCTTCTTACATTCCAGGACTGCTGGCTCCCAACTGCTCGCCTGCCTGCTGCTGGCCTGGTAGCCCCTAACTGCCCTCCCCTGCTGGCCTGGTAGCCCCTAACTGCCCTCCCCTGCTGGCCTGGTAGCCCCTAACTGCCCTCCCCTGCTGGCCTGGTAGCCCCTAACTGCCCTCCCCTGCTGGCCTGGTAGCCCCTAACTGCCCTCCCCTGCTGGCCTGGTAGCCCCTAACTGCCCTCCCCTGCTGGCCTGGTAGCCCCTAACTGCCCTCCCCTGCTGGCCTGATCGCCCACAACTGCCC